GGTCAGCAGCCGAGCGCTTAACCCTTGTGCCCCCAGGGCTCCTTATGCCTTTTGCACGTGTGTATTTCCATAAGATAAATTCTGAGAGGGGAAGAAGACACCACTTCGGCTAGCTCTCGGTCCTCTGACCGTGTAGGTTTGGACATACCCTGAGTCTTGAGAGATGCTAGGAACATAAGCCACAGGTGGTGGCACCCGCCCATCCTAGCTCCTGTTTGCATGTGGACATTCAGGACACAGGCAGAGAAGGCCCCGCCACAGGTGGCCACTGGTTCCCTCAACGCTGCAGTGTTTCTGCAAGCAGTAAGGACTCCTGTGGTGACTAGGAGCAAGACTAACCAGTTGCCATCTAGTTGAGTCATTTCCATCCAGCTCACGGTGACCTGTGTGTTTCAGAGTCGAACTGTGCTCCATAGGATTTTCAGTGGCTGATTTTTCAGAAGGAGATCACCGGGCCTTTCTTCTGAGGTGCCTCTGGGTGGATGTGAACTGCCAACCTTTCAGTTAGTCGCCAAGCATGTTAACCGTTTGTGCTACCCAGGGACTCCAAGGAACAATATTAAAATGAAGCATTAGCTGTGTGCCTTCCTGCCATACTCACTCCCGGTTTTTCTCCTCCTTCCCTGTCTCACTAGGGGGCCATTTCCTGCAGAGGCTGTCCCTGCTCTTGGGTGGGGTTGGGGGAGGTCAAGGCAGAGAGTCCTGTCACCTCTTCCCTCCCCAGCCACCACTGCTGCTTGGCCTTATACTTGCCTCCCCTGCACATTCCCAGCTCATGGGGAAAACCACAGGTGCCATCGCCTTTCTTTGAATTAGTGCTAGCAAAGGAATAGCCGTGCTCCCACTTTATAGATGCAAACCCAGAAACTTGTAGTACAGAAGAGAAAGCAAAAGGCCTCTCTTTATGGAGAACTGAAGGCCATGGGTGGTGTAATGGTGAACACACTCAGCTGCTAACCAAAAGGTTGGAGGTTCGAGTCCACCCAGAGGTGCCTCAGAAGAAAGGCCTGGTGGTCTACTTCAGAAAACCCAGCCATTTTGAGAACCCTATGGAACACAGTTGTACTCTAACACACGTGGGTTGCCATTAGTTGGAACCAACTCAATGGCAGCTGGTTTTGTGGAGGATTAAAGAAACTCACGGCTCTCTCTCTTACCGGGAAGGAAGGCCCTAAACGGTCTGCAGCGATTACCATGTGTCGGGTGATTCTGGGACTTTCGCCATGGGCAACATTGGATGCAGTGGGAGAATTTTACACGTTCAGGGGTGTCATGAGGAGGATGATGTTTTTCCCTAATTTTATCTTTGGTAGAGATATACAACAAAAACATACACTCATTCCGCATTTCCTACATGTGCGTTCAGTGACGTTGGTTACATTCTTCACAGTGTGTCTCCGTTCCCGCTCTCTGCCCATGTTGTTCCACCACCAGCGACTCAGACTCTCTGTCCCCTGATCTCGTCCTCTGTGCTTTAGTGTTGCTGTTGTCACTGTGATCTCGTACAGATCATTCTTTAACAGAGCGCGCTGCTTCAGGGGAGGGTTCTTTACTAGTTGAGCTAGACTGTGGTTCAGTTTAAAGACGACTTCACGGGACAGCTGCGGTTCAGGGCCTAAAGATTATCTCAGGGCGATAGAACCGGGGGTTCCCCCAGTCCCGGGGGGCCCAGTAAGTCTGGTTTCTGTAAGAATTTGAAATTCTGTTCCACAGTTTTCTTCTCTTTGATCAGGATCCATCTAGTGGGTCCTTGATGAAAATGGTCAGTAGCGGTAGCCGGCAGCATCCGTTCTTCTGGTCTCATGGCAAAGGAGGCAGCTGTTCGTGGAGGCAATTAGACCTTCTCCATTTCCTGACACTCCTTCTTCCTCCGCTGTGAGGGGGCTAGAGATCAATTGTTGTATCTTAGATGGCTGCTTGCAAACTTTTAAGACTGAGGACGGGGTTTTTAAGAAGGCAAGAAGGGGCTGATGATAAAATATCATTTCTACAACAGTAATGCTTGAGGCAGTGGTGGTCCAGTGGTAGAATCTCGCCTTCCATGCGAGACCAATTCAATTCCTGGCCAGTGCACCTCTTGCGCGGCCACCACCCGTCTGTCACTGGAGGCTTGCGAGTTGCTAGGATGCTGAACAGGTTTCAGCAGAGCTTCTAGACTAAGACAGACTAGGAAGAAAGGCCTGGTGATTGACTTCTGAAAATCAGCCCATGAACACCCAATGGATTGCAGTGGTCTGATCTGCAACCGATCATGGGGATGGTGCAGGACTGGGCAGCATTTCATTCTGTTGTGCGTGGGGTGGCCGTGAGTCAGGGGCCGACTCAACAGCAGCCAACAGCAACATAGCTGCTCTTGGAGTCATGCTGGGAGAGACACAAGCATTAAGTATTCGATTGAAGTGACAAACCCTGCAAGTATGCCCTGGAATGAATATAGCACACAGCACGAGACACTCCCTGAAGACTTTCTCAAGATTGCTTGTTTTTGAAATCGCAAATAGCACCACTGCTTTTAGAGTTTGGGGTGTTTAAAAGGGCAAACGTCAGCCGATGATTTGGTTACATGACAATGGGGCAAATTCGGAAAGTGACAACAATGAACATTGGTTGTTACAGTTGTCATCGAGTCGGCTCCGACTCATGGCGACCCCGTGTACGCAGAACAAAATGCTGCCGTCCTCAAAGTCATGGGAGCTCCAAGGACACATCTAGAAACTCCCTGAGGGACCAGATTCCTGGGCGGAGGGCTGTGGGGACCACGGTGTCGGGGAACATCGAGCTCAAATGGCATAACATAGTTTATAAAGAAAATATTCTACATTCTACTTTGGTGAGTAGCGTCTGGGGTCTTAAAAGCCTGTGAGTGGCCATCTAAGATACTCCACTAGGGAGAATGAAGAACACTAAAGACACAAGGGAAAGTTTAGTCCAAAGGACTCATGGACCACAGCTACCACGGCCTCCACCAGACTGAGTCCAGTACAGCTGATGGTGCCCGGCTACCACCACCGACTGCTCTGACAGGGATCACAACAGAGGGTCCCAGACGGAGCTGGAGAAAAATATAGAACAAAGTTCTAACTCACAAAAAAAGACCAGACTTATTGACTGGACAGAGACTGGAGAAACCCCGAGAGTATGGCCCCCGGACACGCTTTTAGCCCAGTAATGAAGTCACTCCTGAGGTTCACCTTTTAGCCAAAGATTAGACAGGCCCATGAAACAAAACAAGACTAAAGGGGCACACCAGCCCAGGGGCAAGGATGAGAAGACAGGAGGGGACAGGAAAGCTGGTAACAGGGGACCCAAGGTCGAGAAGGGAGAGTGTTGACATGTCATGGGGTTAACCAACGCCATAAAACAATATGTGTATTAACTTTTTAATGAGAAGCTAGTTCTGTAAACTTTTATCTAAAGTACAGTAAAGAAAAAAAAAAGAAAATGTTACCAGTCCTGCACCATCTACACGATCGTTGGTGCTCAAGTCCATTGTTGTGACCACTGTGTATTTTGAGTGCCTTCCAGACTAGGAGGCTCCTCTTCCAGCACTGCATCGGACAGTATTCTGTTGTGATCCATAAGGTTTTCATTGGCTAATTTTCAGAAGCAGATTGCCAGTCCTTTCTTCCTAGTCTTCTTAGTCTGTAAGCTCCACTGAAACCTGTCCACCATGGGTGACCATGCTGGTATTTGAAATACCGATGCCAGAGCTTCCAGCATCACAGTAGCACGCAAGCCGCCACAGTACAACAAACGGACAAACAGATGGTGGGTAGTGAAGGCTTTTACTGGTTCAACCTTACTTTTTTCCTTATTCAAACGCTTTCAGATTCCATTTGAATACAACAATTTCAAGTTTTTTTTTTTTTTTAATTTATGCTGAAGTCAAAATAACTGCTTTTCAAACGTGATGATGGTTGAGATTACCCAACAGCCAAGTAGATACGTTAGCCGCCGAGACTTCTGGGAACAAGGTGAAATGGAAGAGTATGGAAGCTGGGTGGGGCGGGGGATGGGCTGACTTGTCCAAGTCGACATGTTGAACTGGAGAGAGGAGCCGAGCCGGGAGGGAAGATGGAACGGCCGGCTGATGATTGTTTGAGTTATACCTCATGGCACCGGTCTTTCTGTTTCTTGCTCCACCTTTCAAGTACACTCAGAACATTTTATTCCAAAATTATCTTTTGCGCTGCTTTGGGAGCTGACTTAATACAGAGCTGGGAATGGAGTCACCCAAGACAAAACTGGGCGTTTGTCCCTTCCTGCTCCGGAGGGTATGAGTCACCTGCCAGGTTCACCCTTTGTCCGCCGTCATAACCAACCCCTCCCTGGAAGAAAGCATTTGCTGAGAAAAAGGAAAATGTATCTCGAACCTTGATGTACTAGAAGACTCATTTAATTTGTGCTGTGGTGCCTTTTAGGAACCCTGGAGGTTCAGTGGTTCAGCGCTCGGCTGCTCACCGAAAGGTTGGCAGTTCAAATCCACCAGCTGCTTCACGGGAGAAAAGATGTGGCAGTCTGCCTCTGTAAAGATTACACCTTGGAAACCCTATGGGGCAGTTCTACTCTGTCTTGTAGGGTCACTATGAGTCAGAATCAACTCGACAGCAATGGGTTTTTATGATGCCTTTTTAAGTTTTAACGATAACCTTTCTCCCCCACCTCCCGCTCTTGATTAGATAGCCTTTCTAAAGCAGAAGAGGTTTCAGTGGATCTTCTTAGAGTTCATTAGGATTAATTAGTTTAAAAACCTAAAATACCTCCAGGATGTCCATCTTTGGGTTTCATTAGAATAATGAGTTTAACAAAAGACCATTTTTCTCCATTTTGTCAGAGCACACTGAGGCTTTGCTTTGGGGTTGAAATTTTCATGGGGACAGAAATAGAATGTCCTTTTGTTCTCATTGGATTGGACAGCAGGGTTTGTGATAGGGGAGGTGACAGATGGAGTAAATATTTCTAATTTTGCTTTTCGTGGCTTCGTTTTCATTTCTTCAAAGATCCCCGGGTGTTGCTGCAGGGATCTTTGCCTCGATGTCCTGTCCCGGGCCAGTTGAGATTGATCTGTACCCCGGAGATTGATGACCACCTCAAGACACGCAAGATTCCCTCTCTCCCTGAGACGGCAGAGGCTCCTCCCGGCGGGCCGTCCACTTGTCGCCCAGAGAATGAGAACTCAGCCTTCGAAACCGTCTCACAGCCAGATTACTGGCCTCGCACGTTTCTCTTGCATTAAATCTGTCGGTAATCTTGCATAGCTCAAGCATGACTTAAGAAATAACGCTTTCATTTTTCCACGTGACTCCAGAAGGTTTTCTGACTAACGTTTTGTATTCGTACACCGACGTGGGAAGAAAAATAGTCAGGTATCTTAAAACTTACTCAGTGCTCTCGGGGGGTTCCGACTCGTGGCGACGTTCCGTATCACGGAACGAAACACTGCGCAGTCCTGCACCATCTTGAGGCTCGTTGGTATGTTTGAGACCGTTGTTGTGGTGGTGGTGTCTGTCCGTCTTGTGGAGGGTTTCCCTCATTTTCGCTCACCCTCTACTTTACCAAGCATGAGGTTCTTTTCTAGTCATTGATGACATGTCCGAAGTAAGTGTGTCAGAGTCTCGCCATCCTTGCTCCTAGGGAACATTCTGGTGTATTTCTTCTGACACTGATTTGTTCATTCTTTTGGCAGTCCATGGTAGGTTCAATATCCTTCCCCAGCACCACAATCCGAACTATTCTGTGGTGTATTAAATCTGTTGTTGTTGTTGCTGTTAGTCAAGTCGATTTCAACTCCTGGCGACCCCATGTGTGCAGAGTAGAACTTCTCCATAGGGTTTTCAAGGCTGTGACCTTTCTTCCGAGTCGCCTCTGGATGGGTTCAAACCACCACCCTTATAGCTAGTAGTCACGCGCTTAACCATTTGTACCACCCGGGGATTCTGTGTATTAAAACTAATATTTAATGTCTGGTAATGCTTGAACATGGAAAGTGGATGTTTTGGTGGATTTGAAAAGAGATGTGTAGTAACCATAAAGAAAATGGCAAAAGAGAAGCTTGTGTCGGGGAGGGGAGCGACGTCTGTCTGCTGGTTGTGGTGGGACCATTGTGGGGGGTGGTCACACGGTCCCCTGACGCTGGGGGCCCACTCCCAGCCGAAGCCCACCCACCTAAGCCCAGGGCTGCTGCACTCTGCTGCGAGGTCTGTACATGTGGAATGCCCAGGCCCCGCCCAGTGGCTTCACACCCCTGCACCCTGCTGAGGTTGCCAGCCAGCACTCTGCAGTTAGGGGCTGGCAGGAATAGAATCCTAACGCGGGGCTCCGTGCTCGTGGAATGGGAGTGGAGACTAGGCCCTCTGAGGGACCCTTCTCTGACATGGTGACACCTCACCCCCTGCGTGCTTGCCACTGCTCTGCCTTCTCTTCCGTTCTCAGCACGGCCACCACAGGGAGCTGTCAGAACACAGGTTCCATCCGGTCAGTCCTGGCACGGACCCTTCTGTCACTTATCTTTCTCTCTCAGCACAAGCCACACCCCTCACGGTGACCTGCATGGGCCTCTCCCCTCCTTGCCTCCTGGTTCACTCGGCCCCAGTCTCAAGCCAGGCGTGGCTCCACCTCAGGCCCTTTGCACTGGCTGTTCCCGCCACCAGGAACACTCTTCCCAGCTATCTCATGGCTCCGCCCCCTCCATGTCTTCACGTCAGTGACCCTTCTCAGTGAGGCCCACTCCCATCCCGACACTCCTGATCTCTGCTTCCTTTTTCTCTTTGGCACTTATCACCATCTGACATACTACAGTAAAACCTGCGAAAGCCACAACCTGTGTAAGGCGGAAACCTGTCAGAGAAGGAAAATGCAAATATTTTCCACTAACGCAAGTGGTAGAAAAGTGGCAAGACTGCACCCTGTCAACGGTGGAAAGCCTGAGACCTGGAAAAACAAGGCAGTCCCGGCGAGTTCTGGCTCTCACAGGTCACTGTATATGTTCTTCGTACCTGTTTTGTTTATTGTCTGTATTCTGCCCACACAAATACTAGAATATAAGCTCCTTGAGGGAGGGAATTTTGCCTGTTTTGATTACTGAGAAATGTCTGGTACATGGTAAAACCAAAGCCAAGTCAATTCTGACTCATGGCGGCCCATGTGTTATAGAGTAGAACTGCCTCATAGGGTTTGCTTGGCCGTAATCCTTACAGCAGCAGATGGCCAGCCCTTTCTTCTGTGGAGCGGCTGCACGGGTTCTAGCCACCAACCTTTAGGTTAGTGTTGTCGTTGTTAGGTGCTGTCGAGTAGGTTCCAACTCACAGCGACCGTATGTCCAATAGAAGAATAGGTTAGTAGTCGAGTGCCAATCATTTGCACCATCATTCAAAAAATATTTTTGATTGAAATGAATGGATAATGCCAAGTAGGATTCCCTTCTTCATTCTCTCTCTGGATATGGGACCCGGAGTCCTCACAGCTGTGCATCGGAGCCTCCCTTTGCGTGGAGAGAGTCCAGGCAGAATACAGTGGCGTCCCCCAGGCAATGCCCAATCAGAGACCCTCCTGCCACTTCTGCTTTTGTTCCTGGTGGTCTTCCCTCCAGGACTAGCTAGCAACGCAGTCACCCCTCCTCATTCCCACTTAGCCACGGGTGGACGGTCCAGGAGTCTGCCTTCAAATTCCCCGCCTCCCTGGAGCCCGGGTTCAAATTCTAACAGTGTAGAATCAGCCTTTCCTTCTCAGGGAGGCATGTCCTGGTCCGTCCTGTTTATCCAAGAAGCGACCTTGGAATGATATCTTAAGAAAACAAAGTTTCTGTGCACTGATGGTATCTGTCTCAAAGGCCGTGTCTCACCAAAGGAACAAGCCTCAGCTAAGAGCTAAAGGGTATGCCTTAATAACATGCACATCTATGAGCGCTGTATGTTTTTATCATTTAAAATGGTGAGCTATTTATGCTGCATGCTTCCCATTCCATCAAAATGTTTTAAGATCCTTGGCCACACTCTCCAAAAATAAGACCATCATTTAGAACACTCCGTTCCCCTTGCAGATTAGTGGTACTACCCTCTCCCAGCCCAGAGCAGTTCCAAAAGCCACAGGGAGCCCATACCTAGGAGGCCCTGGGGGGTGCAAACAGTGAATGCGCTTGGCTGCTAACCAAAAAGTTGACGGCTTGAGTCCACCCAGAGGTGCCTCGGAAGAAAGGCCTGGCAGTCTCCTTCCAAAAACTCAGCCATTGAAAACCCTATGGAGCACAGTTCTACTCTGACACACATGGGGTCGCCATGAGTCAGAGTCAACTTGAAGCAACTGGTTAGTCCATACCTAGAGGGCACCGTTGCTGAGGGGGGCGGCCGTGATGATTTGTGGGTCGGCCTAATTGGTTTCTCTGTATGTCAGGAGTGCCCAGTGCTAGGACCCTCTCTGGGGCTGAGTGCCACCTGTGGAACAAAAGAGCTGCTTCCCTCCGTCCAGGGGCATGTGGTGTTACCTGGTTGGTTCTTTGAAGATTCTCACTCAAGTATGGCGGCTAGCAGCTCGGGTGCACTGATCTCAGACACTAGAAGTTCCTTCCGCAAAAGTCAGCTGAAGCATTTCTAATGCTGAGTCAGTGGTTCCGTTTGCACCTATTTCAAACGTCCATGCGCTTTTTAAAAGCCTTTTTAATTTTCAACTCCTCTCTTTCGACATTTTTTTCCGATCACTTAATCCCCGATTAGTTTTAGCTTATGTAATCACCGTCTGGAAAACACTCGTACGGTTATGAGCTCATCCACACTGTTTGTTTGACGATAAGTAAATTCTTTGCTCGGCGAGGAAAAGGCCCTTTCTCCTCCCCACACGAGGAAGGCTTATAGAAGTCCCTCCCCCATGCCTCCCTCACGCCAGAGAGCTGGTCTTGCTTGGGTTCTGTTATTTGAGAACAAATATGGTAAACTGTTTTCCCCTCGGTTACTATAGAGAAGAGATTATTTGCCTTTCTCTTCGGGCTTCTGAAAATAATAGATTACATATTTGGGAGGGTTTTTTTTAGATCTGGTTAATGTGAGATAGAGGGGATTGCTCCGGGGATGACATTGTTTAGTTTGGGGAGTATTCTGTCCGTTGCCTGGCAACAGGCTCTTGGAAGCGAGAGTGGACGGCGTTGTCCCTGGCAACCGTTGTTACTCAGCAAACAATGAGAGCCAGGCAGACAGCGCCAAGCCTGTGGACTCCAGGTTTTAATTGAACATCTGCATATATTTTTGTTTCCCCTCTGATTAAATTATGTTGGCATTTGCTTTGCCTGGACAGGTAGCACGGGTCCATCCATTTGGGGTTGACTTCCAGGCAGGCATGTTGTTGTGTTAACGTCTCAGCCTCTGGAAACGGAGACGGGCTTTGGAGAAAAGCAAACTTTTAGTCATTTGAACATGTCCTAGACTTATTTTCGTCTTAAAGTGGAGTTTATTTTTTGTTCTAATTCCTCGCGTTTATAAAATCATTACTTGGCTTACCCTACAACCGTATACCACCAATAAATCCTCAAAGCTCTCAAGCTCCGTTCCTGTGCTCATTAATGACTCAAATATCAGGAACTGAACCCTGCTGGCTCACCTGGAAAGACATTTTCACGGAGAGCTGGCTGGTGATGGAAAGCTGTGGTTCAGATGGTTCGATGCTGCTGCTAAGGAGTTGGGTCCCTAGGCTGCACCCCGTGGAACGTGTATATGGTGCTTAATTAGGGGAAGCAAGCGTGTTTCCACTAACAGGGAGGGGAACCTTTACCCTAGTGATGGGCACTTTGCAGCCACATGATGAATTTTAATCAAAACACTGGCGCCTCCCCCACCTCAACGAGCAGGGAGAGATTGTTTACAAGGCTTTGTTGCTTATGTAAACAGTGCCACTGAACTTCATTCAAAGCCCTTGACACATTTTTTTCCCTCCTCTCTGCCCCGCCGCCCGCACCCGCCCCACCTCCCAGCCAGGGCTATAAATTGAGAAATGTTCACCAGGACAGGTTGCTGGTGGGGACGTTTTTCTTTACTCCTCTGGAGTGACATCTGTCTGACTAACGCAGCAACAATCTCAAAGGGCCGCCTGTAACTGAACCCGCGAGCCTATCTGTATGCAGCAGCTCTCCCGGTGAGCCTTGCTTTCGTTGTATGGATTTTTGTAATTAAAGGGCGGCTCACTTTGCAGCTGAAGGCCCCAAGAAAAATGTTCATTGTATTCTTATACCAGCATTACATCTAATGTCTAGAGACCCTTTA